GCTTGCTGTTAAACCTGAGTATTTTTCTTCTGAGGGCCGCTTGACTGGTTTTCGATACATGATTCTTCCATCAGTTGGGGCTGGTTCTTCATCTGAAGCAAAACAAAGTTAGAAGAATTTTCGTCTCCCCTCATTATTCTGCTAGTATCAGAGAGTCAAAGGGCAAGGACAACCTCATACTGCATCTAAGGGTGTCCTTGCTTCCAGTCAGTCTGGTCTTCTCCACCACCCATCACTACATGCCCCACGGACGTGCACTGGCTCAATAAGGTCTCACTGAGCTGCTCCGCACTAGTGTTCGCCCCCAGTTCACTGCAGTTGGGGCCAGACCCAGGGCTTTGTACTCTGTGTACAACCAAGCTGTGCCCCAGCCCATCAGATGCGTTGTCTGCAGTACTGGAGAATGAGTCTAGGGCCTTTGCCCTGAGCTACATCTCCAGCTCTTTGGTCCTTGCAAAGTTTTTGTTTTTTGAGACAAAGTCTCACTAAGTTGTCCAGGCTCAGGGCAAACCTGCTTCAGCCTCAGCTTCTTCAACAGAAGCTTTCCCCAGGGCTGGGATCATAGGTACCATCATGTCTGGCTATAGGGGTTTTAAAGAGTGAAATAGTACTTTCCCCTACAACAATGTCCTGTTTAGGCATAATACATTTATATTATATATTGTACATGTTACACTATATACTACCCTTCAGATACCAGTTACAGCCAGGTACGGTGGCACACACCTATAATCCTAGCACTTGGGAGGCTGAGGCAGGAGGATCACTGTGAGTTCGAGGCCAGCCTGGGCTCCACAGTGAGTTCAACGCCAGCCTCAACTGCATAGCGAGACCCTGTCTCCAAAAGAGGAAAAGATACCAACTACATGGACTTTGTTGACTAGTTGTAAACCTGCCTAAAGGATGCTTTTACTTAAATTTGCACTTTATCCTCAAACAACCCAGAAAGGCGGCCATACCCATTATTTACATTTTACTGACAGGACCTCGAGGCTTGGAGATCAAATAATTTACTCAAGGTTATATAATGTAGTTGGTAAGCATCAGAGCCTTCATCTGAACCAAGGAATGTCTCCACCAGTGAACTGCGCTATCACATAAACTACAGAAATTTCATACACTTAGGGTTCGCCAAATAGCTCAGCAGATTAAAGTGCCTGCAAGCAGGCGCAGGGGCCTGCAGTGCTGGCCGCCCCTGGGGTGTGCTGAGCTCGCAACTGAGACTGGGTGTGGTGGTGCGCACCTGTAATCCCAGCTCTTGGGAGACTATGAACTGATGGATCACTACGAGTCCAATCTGGTAGTGAGACCCTGAACACCCTGTAGACCTTCCCCTAAAATACAAAAAAAAAAGGAAAAAAAGAAAAGATATTTCATACACTAGCCTCTTCACGCTGTTAGAAAACCCAGGTTACTTTCAGATGTACCTGCTTTGGCAGCCTTTATTTCTGCTTTAATTTTCATAACTTCTTCAGCTGTCAAGTCTCCCTTTCTTAAAACCACCACTTGGGGCCGCTCATCTTCTTTGTCACTGTGATCACCCTCTTCATCTGGGAGCTGCGGCTGGATTCTCTAGGGGAAACCCAAATACAGTCAGTAGGTTGCTGACCATGACTCAAATACAACCACTGCCTCTAGAAACAGCTGTAATTATTAAAGTGAGAAGGGCAACTATCAACTCAGTGTTGTAGGAAGTAAATTTTCAAGTAACTCCAAAGAGCCTAACCTTGACATTTCAGGGAACAGGTCTATCTGCCAGTTCCCCTGGGGTCCCTGTCCAGTGGGCTCCACTTCCGGCTTAGCAGGACGCCTGGCAGCTACTGTATCAGTAGCCCTCTGCTGTGGGTACTGCTGTCACTCCCAGGCAGCACTGGGCTGTCACCTCTGCTTCTCACCAACACTTCTCACCTCATGCAAGTTAGACCAGAAGTAGTCAAACAGCACTGAAGTACAGAAAGCAGCATGTAAAAGGTTTTCCTTCCTTTGCAGTATATTTTTAACAGCTTCAATTTAGTGGGTATGCTATCAGCTATTTTCCGAGGGTCTACAAATATGCAAAAATATAAAATGTTTTGGATATAAACAATACTACATGTATTTTGTGACTTTTCTATTTTTCTACCTTTAAATTACAAAACTTCAGAAACATATATAACAGAGAATAACAGAAACCATGTAATCGTACTATACAAGTTATACATTATAACATTTTGCCATTTGACTAAGATGTTTTGGGGGCCGGCCAGATGATTCAGCAGATTAAAACACCTTAGGCAGACACAGGGATAGCGGTTCGATCCCCCGCACGCTGAAACAGCGACTGAGCCTGGGCTTGATGGCCTACACAAGTAATTCCAATGCTTGGGAGGATGAAAACAGGAAGATCACTACGAGTATGATCTGTGTAGTGAGACCATGTACTAAATACAAAAAAAAAAAAAAGGTATTTTTAACTCCTAGGCATCATAAAAGCCCACTCCCAACTTTTCAATCAAAAAACATCTTTGCACAATACTTTATTATAGGCTTGATTTTACAAGTCACTGCCTTGAATTTAATCACATATATAATACAGTATCTCATGATACATTGTACCCTCTAAAAAATTGTGGTTGTTTCCAGTTTTTGTTTTTCCTATTATAAGAGAAATGCTATATATACAATTTTGCTCACTTTTGGAAGCATATGATAAATTCTAAGAAGTGGACTGAAAATATGCACACCAAAATACGTCTGCTCACGCTATTCAAATGTTATTCCACTTCTCAGGAGCCTTAGTCTCCATCAGGGCCTTGCATGACTGGGCCTTTGCCTGGACCCACTGCTTTATCCTGTACCTCTCTCTCTCAGCCTCTAGACTCCACCCACGTTTTAGTCCTTGGAGATCCACGAATATATCCTCTCTTTTCCTCTTGTCTTAATGGAAGCACTGGACACAGAGTCGTAAACAAATTTACTTCTTCATACACCCTCCACACATAATGGTATGTTATTACTGAAAGCAGTGGGGCAGGTTCTGGTGTGAACCAGTCCGGTGGACAGCTTGGCAGGCTCAGAATTGATTTCCTCTGAAATCCTGTACTAGATCAGGGTGGTTCTCCCCTGAAGCTCTTCTATTCAGACCTGGAGTTAGGAGAGTTTTGCTTACTTTTTTCATTAAAGTACTTCACGGTAACAACAAATCATAAAATAGATCCAATCCTCGACGTTTCTCCAAGGATGTTCAAGCCTCCCGTCTCAAAACTTTTGATCCAGTGGCCTTAGCTTCCTCATCTGGAAAACTGGACGACGCTATCAGGGTCCGAGATGAGTGAGAGAGAGACAGGAAAGCGCTATTTCCTATCTGCAAAGACCAGACGCTTTTCCTACGTCCGGTTATTCTAAAGAACAAAGCATCGCTCGGAAAAGGAGCGCTCCCTAGACGCAGAGGCTGCCATGGTCTGGGCAGCAGTGCCGAGATCTGACGCCCACCAGAAGGGCGCACCGGTCAGTCCCTAGTCTCCAGGTCACCGCCGAAGCCCTAAGTGGCGGGAGGCCAGCGTTCCCGAAGTAGCGCGACCGGCCCGGGCTCACCTTCGTCTCCACGGTGGGCCCTTCCCGGTAGCCGACTCGCTCCTTGAAGCGAGACAGGAACGCGGGCTCGGCGGGCCGCACGTACGACACCCGGTTTCGCTGGCTCATGACAGCTCCAAGAAGACTCAATTCCTTGGGTCGCGGAGCACAACGCGCAGGCGACGGCGCACACATAAGACGTCACGCGGCCACGCCCCCCGCGCGGAGGCGGGATGGGGGCGGTGCCCCTGTGCGTCAACGTCCGCGCGCCTAATTCAAATTCACCGCCATCTTGCGCGGGCGGGATTCAGGCGCTCGGCGCTGCTGGTAGTCGGGTGAGGAGACAGAGGTCTGCGCGGCTCTCGGACTCGTGGCTGTGGCCGCTATGGCTCCGGGATGCAAAAGTAAGGACTGCCGGGCCTCGCGACCTCGTCACTGGCCCCTGACCGCGGGGTTCCCTTCGCGGGGGAAGCGCGTCCGCGGGTCCCTCGCTGACAGTGTGGGCGGGTGCTGCGCGGGAAGTGCGCGCCTCGCCCCTTCCGCGGGTCTCTGCGTCCTGCCTTTCCGGCGTAGCCGGCTTTCTTACCCAAACACTCGTCTCTCCTTGGATAGCCTCTCCTGAGATAAGGGCATTTGCAAGCAGAGACCGAAGCGCGTCCTGCGGGGGGCCGCGGCGCCGAGCTCCGGGAGCCTGAGCCCTGATCGCGCCCTGGGGCTGAGGCCAGTGCGGGCCGGGCCCGGCCCGGCCCGGCGCGGCCAGTACCGTACCGTACCGTACCGTACGCGGACCGTTGTGCCGCCGTGAGCAGGAGCTGCGATCGGACAGCGTCCTGTGTGACCAGAGCTGGCCGGCGCGTGTGCTCCTGCCCGAAACCCTTGCCGCCTCGTGCTGTGAGATGCTGGCAGTGATCGATGAGCATTTATCTAGACGGCATTGAAAGTGATCCTATGGTCTTTTAAAAGCAAGAAGACTTTAAAATTTACTGTTTTGTTGAGGTATAACTTACATGTTGTAAAAAAGTACAAATCTTCAGAATACTATTGAAGAAACTTTCACGTGAATTCACCCATACAGATGCTGCCCAGTTAAAAAGCCAGAACTGTGCCTTGTACACCCAGAAAGTGCCCACTGTACTCTTCCTAGTCAATTCCTCAACCCCGCAGTTACTCTGATTTTTATCACTGCTGATTACTGTAGTTTTGTCTAACCGTGAATTTCATAGAAATGGCATGATGCATATTCTTGTTATGCTTTTGTTCTTAACTGCTTTTACTGAATGTGACATCTGAGCATTGACCTCCCTTGTAAGTAGTAGCAGTTTTTCATTATTGTGTGGTGTTCCATTATGTTCCATAATTTTTTTATTCTTTTACTGTGTATTTAGGTTTCTGTAATTAGTTTTCAGCCTATTTTTATTCACATAAAGGACATTACATTTGAGAGAATTTTACAGAGAATGTCTACATATGGCTTTGATTGATTGATTGGAGCACAGAGAATCAAATCCAGAGCCTTGCACATGCTAGGAAAGTGCTCTGCTACTGAGCTACCCTCCCAGTCCCAAAGGTCTTCTATGACAGCCACTTGATGAACTTTTATGCATCTTTTAATCTTTTGGTTGTTTGTTTGGGCTGAGCATTACCCTCAGCATAGTAGGCTGGGATAGAATGGAGAAGAGGATCAGGGCCTGGGACGCACCAGGCGAGAGCGCTGAAGAGCCCCAGGAGCTTAGAGAAAGCGCAGCTTCCGTAGTGCAGTTGTACCTGCTGCTTATGACTCTCACCTTTTTTTCTAGCTGACTTACGCAGTGTGGTGACTTCTCAGTCTAACCAACCAAGGTAAGAAAAGAATTTTGTTACTTCTAAGAGAACTGTTTAACATAACATGGGGACTTGTTTCAAATGTTAGTTTGGTCGTCAGCCAAATGGAAACTTGGGAAATCACGTAGTGACTTCCCTGCCTTCTATTGTGAGGCTAAAGTGTAGAATCAGTTGCCTAATTCTCCCTTGGAATCACTTGTCCTGTCATTGCTAGTAAGGCGGAAATGAAAGGAGCGACAGTGTTTGTGTCTCCTTGACATGAACTTCTTTTAAATTTATTTCTAGTAAGAGATGGTGAAGATGTTGTCATAGAGTAAGTTAACGAAGGGCTTGGGTTGCATGAGACTCTTCAAAGTGGTCAGTTTAAATGGGGTGGGCTTCGTCAGGAAGCCTCATGCTATACGTATTAGAGGCAGTCTGAGACTGGGATTCGCAGACCGTTTTCTTTTCTCTGGAGGCTTCTTCGCTACCTTTTTTTTTTTTATTATTATTTTTTACATCTTTTCCACTTTAGTAACGAGGGCGATGCCATCAGAGTTTTCATACGAGTCCGCCCGCCTGCAGAGGGCTTGCGATCAGGATCAGCAGATGGAGAGCAAAACCTGTGCCTCTCCGTGCTCTCCTCCACCACCCTCCGCCTGCATTCTAACCCAGAGCCCAAGACCTTCACGTTTGATTATGTAGCTGACATGGACACCACTCAGGTAGAGAGAGCTGGAGCTTCTTTTGGGGCATATAGAAGCCTTTGGTATTTGTGAGGGTTTCATTTTTGGTCACTTTAGTTTGCCAGATTTCTAATTTTATTCTCAACAGGTCATCCTCCTTTTTTCCCCTTTGGCAGTACTGAGATCAAACCCAAGGGCTCCCTACCACTGCGCTATATCCCAGCCCCTTTTTGTTTGTATGTATGTATGTATCTTGAGACAGGGTTTCCCTGTGCAGTTTGGGCTGGCCTTGAGCTCACTTTGTAGCTAGGCTGGCCTCAGACTCTCAGCGATCCTCCTGCGTCAGCCTCCCGAGTGCTGGGGTTATAGGTGTGCACCTGTAATCAACATCAGTGTAAATCATCACTCAGAAAGCTTGCGCTCTTTTTTCTAGCTCAGCCCTCAGAATCTAGTGTATATTTCCTCTCGCAGCACCTCAGTGTGCATTCGTAACGTTTTAGTATTCAGGTGCCACACATGGCCATGAACTGTGGGTGTAAGGGTGTAAGAGTTGTTGCATCCTTGGTAAGACTGCATCTAGTGATACATAAAAACGAAAATGAAATTCATATTACTTGGTATAAACTTGGGAGAGATAGAGTGCAAAAAGTATAATGCTGTGGATTTTACACCAGTACCAGTATGCTTACATGCAACATATAATACAAAATACTGTATAAAGTTTAGATGTACACTTTTGAAAAAAAGAATATGTTTGTTTTAAAGAATTGAAACATTTATCAACTAAACAATATTGATACTTAAAAAAAAGGACAAACTGAACCTGGTGGCACATGCCTGTGATCGAACCCTGGCCCCTGTGCCTGCTTATAGGTGCTTTAACCTGCTGAGCTATTTGACTGGCCCTTCTCTAAATTATTTTTTAAAAAGAAAAGAAAGATAGATAGATAGATAAGATAGATAGATCAGGTATGGTGGCCTATGTCTATAATGCTAACATTCTGAAGGCTGAGCCAAAAAGATCAGAAATTTGAAGCCAGCTTGGGCTACATAGTGAGGCTATCTTTTTTTGAGAAAAAAAAAAAAGAAGTATAAACTGTATGTCACACTGAAATAGATTAAATTAAATTCAGTCACTCACTCACTAAGTCAGATTTCAGAGCTACTGGGGTGTGATCGATTTCTAATGGTGTGGGGCCAAAGCCATAGATGTCTATGGTAAGCCTGTGACTGTATATGAGATTCATGGGCCTGATGGCTTAGCCATTTTCTGTAGTGGATAGGACCTCCATGTTATCACAGTGTTAAAAAGATCTAAGCTATCTTTTTTTATTATGTTATCGTAGAATGTATTTTAGCCACCCCAGAAAGAATGGCTATCATAAAGAAATCAACAACAACAAATGTTGGAGAGGCTGTG